TCATATACACACGCATCTGCTTGTGTGTGTGATGTAGTCATGCATCCGCCACCGTGCCTCTGGGCACGGAATGGGCGTGTCCTCAGGTCCATGGGGCCTCCAAGAGTTCCAAAGAGGCCCCCAAAAGGCCTCCCGAAAAGGCTTCCAGAAGCAAACATCATTGATTGTCCCATGGTTTGAAGGTTCTTGGCCTTTTGGCCTTTTGGCATTACGACGCTCGAAGACGAACCCAGAGGCCTCTAAGATCACTCCAAAACAGCCTAAGAAGCTCGCAAAAAAGCCCCACAAGAGTTCAAGAGGGTTCCAAAACGGCCTCAGAGGCCCCCCAAACGGCCCAGCCGATGACGGCCCTAAGAGGGGCCCGAAAGGGGGACGACGCACCGAAAATCCGGGCTTTCCGCCTCACGAGGGCCATCGGCCTACCATAAGAGGCATAGCACTCGAGCGGCACTAGGAGCCTCGTCTGTGGGTGAATTGTGAAGAAGTTTCGAGCGGGGGACCCCTCCCTGGGGGCCCGGCGCTTCGTGCTCGAATCCGACAAGGGTCATCGCTGGGCTTCGCGCTGCCTGCGGCCCGTGCGCGGCCGCGAGTAGCTCGAGGCCTGCAAGATTGTCCCAACGGCTTGCTCCCGCCCCACAGCGGCTCGCGGGTTTGCCCCGACGGCCTCGCCCGCGGGGTTGTCCCAACGGTTTCGCGATCTGGCCATGGGGCCGCGGCGGCGACGGCGCCAAGGCGACCCGACACGCGCGCCCCGGCCAAAAGGAGAGGCGCACGAGGAGAAGTGCGACCCGCAGGGCTCGCAGGTCTGGCAGGTCCCACGAGCCCCACAGGTGAAGCAGGCCCCCCAGGTCCAACAGGTCCCATGGGCCCCACAGGTCCTACAGGCAGCACGGGGACCACAGGTCACAAGTCCCAAAGGTCCCACGGGTACCAGAAAGGCCCCACAAGTCGCACAGGCCACGCAGGTCGCACAGGCCCCACATGCGTCCCACAAGCCCCGCAGGTCTCAAAGCCCCCACGAATCCTACGGGCCCCACAGGTCTCAACATCGCATCCTGGTGTTCTGGCGTCTGAGCATGATCACCATTGCTCGTCGTCGATGATGGCGACTCTCATAGGCAATGCAAATCTTATCATGTGGGGTCTTTCCGTCGGAGTCATGTTTTCTTGGACCTATGCCCGCCCAAGCGCTCGCCGAGCCCATGGCCAGAACAAGAAACACAATTCGCCGGCCCAACGGGCCAGAGGCGTGCTAAGATCTCCGGTAACTGGTTAACAATTGTATTGTACTAGTTCGCGCGCGCGGGGCGGCCCCTGGGGGTCCCCCGGCGAAAAGTACCCCGCCCGCCGCCTGGCAAGGTCCCGCCCGGTTCAACTCAGAGATGGTTTTCCTTCTGGGTGCGGCCTCTCAGGCCGCCCTGAGCGCGCCAAGAGTGCCCCAAGAGGCCCCCAAGACTGCCCAAGAGGCCCCCGAGACGCCCAAAGAGCGCTCGAAGACGCCGAAGATGACCCCAAGACGGCCCAAAAGGCCCCCAAGACAGCCCAAGAGGCCTCCAAGACGCCCCAAGAGCCTTCCAAGAGGCCTCCGAAGAGAGCCCCAAGAGGCCAAAATCGTTGATTTTCATTGGTTTTTTCGATGTTTTTTGTGTTCTGGCTTTTTCGGCTTCCGGACGCTCCAAGACGGCCCAAGAGGCCCCCAAGACCGCTCCAAGACGGCCCACGAGGCTCCCAAGACGGCCCCGGAACGGCCCAGGAGGGCCCCCAAGACGGCCCAAGTGCCGCCCAAGACGGACCAAGAGGCCCCAAGACGGGCCCAAGAGGGGCTCAAGAGGGGAACCGAGAACTGAAAAATCGAGCCCTCCGCCCCAGAAGGCGCCCAGGAGGCCCCAAAAAAGGCCCCAAGAGGCCCCCAAGAGGCCCCCAAGACGCCCCAAGAGGCGCCCAAGAGGCCCAAAAGAGGCCCCAAGAGGCCCCAAAACGGCCCCCAAAACTCGGCTAGCCCACAACGGTGCGACAATATGGGCCGGCGGAATGAGCGAAGCGATTAAATAACAACTAGAAACACCTATGCATACCAGCGATCTGCAGCCCTGGGGGCCAGAAGCACAAAAAACGAAGACAAAACGCAATCATCCGGCCCAGGCCTACATCGAGCCCGCCAATCCTGCCCACGCCTACATCGAGCCCGTCGCCCCTCCTCCACCTAATCTCCCTCCCCCCCACCCTGCATCCACCCCTCGCTCTTCCGTCGCGCCCCTGCTCTCCTCCGCCCCCTGCCCCCATTGCCCCCCTTTGTCGGGGCGTTTTTTTTTGGGGGGGGCCGTCGAGAGAGGCAAAGAGTCCTCCAGGACGGCCAAAAAAAAAACCCGAAGGGGGCCGCGGGAGCCCTGGGCGGCCGAATCCTGCCCGACAGTACGTCTTGGATGGGCCGCGGGGGCCCCGAGGCGCCGCCGAATTAAGAGGGCGCCAGGGATCGACTACAGAACTTAATAATTACCCCAAACTTGATTTTTCGTCGAACCTACGAAAGACACGCAGAAGGTTCCTTAGACCAGGCAGGCATTCTACGCCCTCGTTTGTGAGCTCGACGGAAACATCCCGAAGGGGGCCGCAGACTTTGACTACCTACCAGACCACCCCAACCCAACCCGAAGACCCGAATTTCGGGTTGGGGGGGGGGGTAAGGGTTCCACATGTGTTTTTTTCCGATGTTTCCCGACCCCCCCCCCACTGGAAATCGAGGGTAAATCTGAGCCTTCGGGTTGGGTTGAGGTGGTTTGGTGGGTGGTGAGTGTTGGTTCAAAACAGGCCCGAGCAGGAGCGTAAAGACGGCCCCAGAGACGGCAGCAGAGGGCGCAACCCTGCCCTGGACCTCCGACGTCGCGGCGCTTTCGCGACGCGGGCTCTGGGGCTCTCTCGACTCCAGCCTGAGGGCCAGCGCAGGCATCGCACCACCACAAGGAACGCAAACTAAGGAACATGCGTTCTGGCCGCGGCGAGCCTCGGCCACAGGGCTGAACCCAAACGGCGCTTTTCGCTTTCGTTTTGTTCTCATTTCCCTCGCTTCTGTCTCGGACCCGCCTCTACCGCAAAGCGAAGTCGAAACGAGCGCGGCCCGCGAGATCACCAGACGCACCGGTTAGGTCCAGCCCTGCTCGGCCACTTTCGGAAGCCGGGCAAGGGCTGCTAAAACCTCCGGGAAGTTGTCTTCGCCCTTCCGGGAAGAAGCCCGTTGACTGTTTCGCGTGCCGCGCCTCATTCCGGGAAGTTGCTTTTTCCCTCCGGGGGGCCGTTATAGCAGCCACGGTTTTAGCAACCCTCGCCCAGCTTCCGACACCCGTGGGCCCCCCAACCGAGATCGAGGAAACGGCCCGCGAACCGGGGCCCCTCCTTAGCCCAAACTGGCCCTTGTTCCCGAATCAGAGCTTGCCTCTGTAGGGGTCCTAGCGGATGCACATGGTTAGGTTAGGCATAGCCCAGTAGCCCTACAGCCCTACAACTCTATAGCCCTATAGCTCTATAGCCCAATAGCTCAATAGCCCTATAGCCCCCTAGCCCTATAGCTCTTGGGTTTTCTCCGGTATTATTTTCCTCGGCGTCTTGCCAGAATGCCGTCGCGAGTCGAGCTTTCGGACGGAAGCCAGACCTGCTTTCCGGGGAGCAGGCTGCCCGACCGACTGCCTGGGCTGCACTGGTCGCACCCGGCAGCGGAGGGCTATCTTTCCGTTGGCCTGGGCCGCAATCTACGGCTCGACCCAGAGTTGCGGCGGCCGAGGGCGAAACCTCTGGCGCGACCAATGGCGCAACCTGCGGCGAAGCCTGATGGCACAGCCTCTGGCGCAGCGCCACGGCGCAGTCTGTGGCGCATCCTCCGGCGCAACCTATGCCGCAACCGGCAGCACAACTTGTGGCGCACCCCACGGCGCAACCTCACTACAGTCGGGGCGTTGACCTAAGGAACCCTAAATAAGGAACGAGGCCCCTTTTTCCCATGATATAAACTTCGATGTCCCATCGAAGACATGAGGAAAACCCGAGGCAAGCTGCGAAACACTTCAGGAACGCGGAGCCCCTCCCCAACGAAAAGGGTTCCTTCTCCAGGGCCCCGACTGTACGCCGACACGTCTGGGCGAGCAACAGGCCGGAGCGGTTCAGGAGGGAAACGGTTTGAGGGAGGACGGAGGAAGAGGGAGGAGGAGGAGGAGGAGGAGGAGGAGGAGGAGGAGGAGGAGGAGGAGGAGGAGGGTACCGCGCAACCACACGGCGCAACTTGCCGCGCAGCCCGCCGCACGAGCTGTGGCGCAGCCCGTGGCGGGGAACCTCCTCGGAGTCGACGCCCCGGACCAGCCCTGGGGTGGGCCCCGCCGTGGCGACGAGCACTCCCTGAAATCAAATCGGGCCTGTCCTCCTACAGAAGGACTTTGGACGAAAAATAGAGAGTAGTCCAAAAATACCCCAGAATGGTCGAACAATGCTCAAAAAATCGTCCCCAGACTTTTTCATGACTGTTTTTGAATATCTCTCCTGTGGAGGGACAGGCCCGACTTAACCCTAAAACAGAGCCTGAGACTTGCCAGCCTGATCTCTCCTCCTGGAGCCGCGCGCATAGGACCGGAGTCGAAGGGATCGAAGGACCCGCCGATGCATCGGCGACGTCGAGATGAGCACACATCGGGCCTTGCAACGCGCCGCCTCGCCGATGCATCGGCCATGTGGCGCACTCCTCCGATCCCACCTGCTCCGGCCCCATTTGGGCGTCCTGGACTCCTCCCTTCCCCAGCGGAACGAACAATGGCATAAATATAAAAACTCAGAGGTCCGCGCGGATTTCTCGGATCGGCGCTGGACCCCCCTCCCTGGCGCGCGGACCGTGCAAAGGGCGGCGCCAGAGGCGCCGTCAGGGGGGTCCAGCGCGGATCCGAAAAATCTGCGCGGACCTCAGAGTTATGTTTATGTCATTATTATTTCCCCTATTCTCTCCCCGCATCCCTCGCCCCTTCCTGGGACTTCATGGTGTTGGTCACCTTGTTCTCCTGTGTGGTCTTGTCGTACAGGGCCTGCGCGTCGGCCTCCTGTCGGAAGTAGAGCAACATAACACTGCACAATCAACGCCAGACCCGCAGTTTCGGGCGGGCGAAGGGCGTCAGGGGCGGCGCATGCGGCGCAGCCAGGGGGTCCAGCGCCCACGCAAGAGATCCGCGCGAAGCTCCGAGATCTCCTCGAGCAGTGCGTGTACTGCAGTAGGAACTCGATCACAAGAAACCTTCCACGAGAAACCTGGCCGTGAGACCTCAGGGCGCCCACTGGATTCTCGGTGTGGGAACGTCGCGCTACCCATAGCAAAACCATCAACATCCAAGAAACCCAAGGCACCCTGGAGGCAAGCAGGGTGTTTCTTGGCATGGGCTTCCGCTGCGAGGGATTCTGACCCTGTCGAAACAGGCGCCAAAAAACAACCAAGATCTACTCCATGGGGGATGGGGAGAAGGGGGGGTTAGAAAGCCTTCGCCGATCGACAAAACGATGAATAAACAACGATTACATGTGTTGGCCTTCCTGGGGTCCTGTCTGGTGCCCGCCTCGTGGTTGCCCCCCCGCGCGACTGCTGTTTGGAGTCCCGAAACGGTGCGGCGACAGACCGTGCGGTGACCTCGAAATCTCTCAAGACCTCACCGCACAATCCGTCAACACACGGTTTGGGACCGCAGATGCCCCAGTTGCCCGAGACGTCCTCGGAGGACGACCCGCGTCCCCCAAACCGTGCGGTGACCCCAAATCCCCATCGACTCACCACACGGTGTGGTCAACGGGGCTCCGAATGCTGGCTCTGCCCGTGCCAGATCTTTTTTTTTTTTTGTCAGACTATTTTTTTGTCCCCCGTTCTCGCACAATCTTGGAGCCTCTGGCCCCTTCTGGGCCTGGTGATCGGGTGCTCTGGAAGCCTTGATAACGAAGGGGTGGAGGAGGAGGAGGAGGAGGAGGAGGAGGAGGAGGAGGTGGGGGGGAGGAGGAGGAGGAGGAGGAAGAGGAGGAGGAGGAGGAGGAGGAGGAAGATGAGGAGGAAGAGGAGGATGAGGATAGATAAAGAGAAGGCCGTTGGGGGTCCATGGTCTTAAGCCTCTTGTGAAAGTTGGGAAGGCCCCTGGGAGATCATAGTGGAGGCGAAGCCCAGCTGCGGGGTCTGTTGACCCGAGGCTGCCTGGGCAAGCCTGCTCCCGCCATGGTGGCGGGTAGGAGGTGCCACGCTGCAGGGAGCCCTGCCGTGGTGGCTCCGCGGCGGGCGGCGGGCGCGGAGGTCCTCCTCCACCCTCCCAACTCCCCTCCTCCCCCCGCCCCCTCCTCGGAGAGAGCTGCGGTCATAAGAGACAAGGAAAATATGAGAAGGGGTGGCCTTGAGCATGCTGTCCGCCCCGCAGCACGCCGCGAGCAAGTGAGAGTGGGGAAAAATATGGAATGGCAGCTCCCCGCTGACCGATGCCCGCAAGGCTGGTTTCTCACTCTGCTGCTCACTCACTCACTGCTGAGCTCGTCGCATCACCGACTCAACTCTGCTGTCGCCGATCGAGATCAGTCTAGATCGAGGCCAATGCCCCAGCCTGCCGCCGACGCCGCCGCACGGTCGTAGGTCTTGATGTCCCCCGATGCCGATTGGCTTCGGGGCTTGGGTGGTGGCCTCCTGGATCGTGTAGTGCTTGTTGTCTCACCCCTGTGCGCTCGGGCTCCATGGCGTGCACTGCGCTCTCTGCTTGAAGCCGGTGCTCTGGCTCGACTCTTCGCTGGGCGGGAGGTGGTCGACCGTGTCGTAGCCAAACCCTTCGTATTTTCTGGCCACTTAGTGTACGCCCCGCTGGTCTCGTCAATCTGCTTGCGCTCGTAGTCGTGCTCCCAAGGCTAAAGGGTCCCACCACCAGCCTGCTGCTGTCCTGCGCGGCCGTGTTGAGCTGCTTCGCCGCCTGGCTGGCTGTGTCGATCTTGCGCAGCTGATGCTCGAGGTCGAGGATCGCTTGGCTGCGCTCCATCTCCTCGAATGGGTTCTCGCCGCTCATGGCCGTGAGCCTGCCTAGGCTCATCGTCACGCGCTCCTCCTGCCTCATCAACTAGGTGAGCGTCGTCTCCGTGGGCTTGGTGGCATTATTGAACGGTGGCCGTGCTCTGGAGCGTGTGGTGGGCGATCGACAGGCGGTACTCGAAGCTTCCGAACACCTGCTCGTTTGTGGCCCCGCGGTGCGGGGTCCTTTGCACGATCAGCTGGCGCATATCGGTCGTGTCGTCGTTGTGGGTCTGCCCGCTGCCGTTGCCGTCGGTGGCCTCTTGGGCCCAAGCGACTGGGTCCCTGCACTTTGCAGCGCCTGCCACCATCTCGTGACACTGATGCGTGTCCTGGAAGTCGTAAAAGGGCACGAAGGACTAGCTGGTTGGAGCCCAAATCGCCAAGGATCGGGACCGAGGTGGTGTTGTATGGTTCCTTAGCTTCTCGTAGGTCCCTCGGTATACAGCTCCTTAGTCTATCGTTTCCTGCCGGCACGTTTCACACTTGTGAGGCCCGAGTAGAAGCTGGCGAGGGCCCTTGGGGTCCAGTTTGGTAGCCATCGTGACCTGTGGAGCCTTTGGGGCCCGTCGTAGCAGACGACCACGTAGTGGAGTGGTTCGTATAGGATGACTAGCTGACAATTAAGTAAACTGACCGTAGTAGGACCTACGTTGTCCCCCCCCCCCCGGCCGACGTGGTTGTGGGCTGCCCTCGGTGAGTACGATGCACGATCGTCGACCTGACGACGCTCAGCATTCCTCATAGGGGCTACTCGACTGCAAGGTCCACTGCTTCCGCATCTGGTTGGCGCAGCTGCCGTGGGAGTAGGGAAAGTGAACAACGACAGCAGTCGGTCGTGCGTGCAGCTTGGCGTTAACCCGCTCAAGGTCGGAGGCAGTAGTGTGGGAGGGAGGGGAAGGGAGGGAGGTGGTAGTTCCCGTCACATGTAGTATGGTGGGGAGGAGATCGTAATACCTCCCCACCATTTTGTTACCCTGTCGCATGGTAGTAGTCCCTCGTGCGTTGGTTACGGTAGTAGGCGGCAAATTGTAGTGAAGTTGCCATGTGCCCACCGTGGATTTGGGCCCTGTTACGGAGCTCTTGAAGCCTGACGAGGTCTGGACTAATTTCCATAGCCATTTTGCTCTCATTCGTACGGGGAGGTCGGACGCTCGGATGTTGGCGTCGGGGAAGCGCGAAGCCTGCAGCAGCGACAACGAGCTCTGGCGGGCTGCAGCTAGGTGTTGCACTGGAGCGCTGGCAGCACCTCCTGCGGCAGCGGTTGGTGGCCCATGCGGGCCTGAGCTGGGCTCTGGACTCACACTGCTCGCTAGTGCTCCAAGCGCTTCCTGCTGTTGAGCTGCCGCTCCACCGACCGCTCGAGCCCCGTCTTGGGCCCCCCCGGCCTGCTCTTCATCCCGCCCTGGTGCACGATCGCCGTGTTGAGCGCCTGCTTGAACATCACCGCCTGGAAGCCGAGCAGCGGCGCCATCTTGGCCTCCTCCATCGGGTCTTTGTAGTGGGCGGCCGAGAAGCACGGGCTGGTGTTGATCACGATCGTTACCTTCGCCTGGCGGTCCTGGTCCATGGAGTCGTCGCTCTGGTGCGTCTCCTGCACCTTGCACTTCTCGAAGTCCTCCGTGATGACCTTGAGTCCCCATTCGCCCTCGATCTGCTGCATGAGCTCTCTCTCTCTCTCTCTCTCGGAGGAGGAGGAGGAGGAGGAGGAGAAGGAGGAGGAAGAGGAGGAGAAGGAAGGAAGGAAGGAAGGAAGGAAGGAAGGAAGGAAGGAAGGAAGGAGGAGGAGGAGGTGGAGGAGGAGGAGGAGGAGGAGAGGGAGGGGGGGGGGTTGGAGGAGGAGGTACAGAGAGGACGAGTTGGGGACATGGCCTCCTCGGGAATCCTGGGTGCAACTTTGGCCAGGGGCACTTCCAGCAACACCCGAGCGTCAACGGCCCCCAGCCCGGCCCCTGACCTCGGGGGCCGAGTTTTGTTGCTGCTGCTGCTGTTATTGTTATTGGTGTTGTTGCTATTGTTGTTATTGCTGCTGCTGCTGCTGTTGTTGCTGTTGATGTTGTTGTTAGTGTTGTTGTTGTTGTTGTTGTTGTTGTTGTTGTTGTTGTTGTTGTTGTTGTTGTTGTTGTTACTGTTGTTATTGTTGTTATTGGTGATGTTGAAGTTGTTGTTTTTCCTGCTGTTGTTGCTGTTGCTATTGTTGTTGCTGTTGCATTTGTTGTTGTTGCTGTTGCTGGTGTTGCTGTTGTTGCTGTTCTATCACTGTGCTTCGGAAGAAGGTTGTTCTATCACTGTGCTTCGGTGTGCTTTCCAGAATCCCCATCATGACCCGTCGGTTTCCACCCGCATGCGAGTCCTCCGAGAATGGACACACCTCTTGCCAACACTCCTGCAGACCAATGAGCACGGACTCCAGATGGCTTGGGGTCAAGCTCGGGACAGGCTTGGAGATGCGGCCAACCGTTGGAAGCGGGTGAGTGGTTTTGTTGCAGCAGTGGTTGCGTGCCTCCTCGGAGCAGAATGGTATCCTGATCAACCAGGCATCTGGACGGCCCTCGATTTCGCTCTCCTCGAGGCTTTTGATCAGGCAGCCTGGAGGAAAGCCAGCGAACAGTAGCATGGCAATAGTCTACGAGGCCGGACTGACATATATATATATATATATATATATATATATATATCGCTTTGTTGTTGTTGCTGTTGGTGTTGCTGCTGTTGCTGTTATTGTTGTTGTTGTTGTTGCTGTAGTAGTAGTAGTAGTAGTAGTAGTAGTAGTAGTAGTAGTAGTAGTAGTAGTAGTAGTAGTAGTAGTCGTAGTCGTAGTAGTCGTAGTCGTAGTCGTAGTAGTCGTAGTAGTAGTAGTAGTAGTAGTAGTAGTAGTAGTAGTAGTAGTAGTAGTAGTAAGTAGTAGTAGTAGTAGTAGTAGTAGTAGTAGTAGTAGTAGTAGTAGTAGTAGTAGTAGTAGTAGTAGTAGTAGTAGTCTTCAGAGTTTACCTTTCGGTGTCGCATGGGGGCTGCAGTGCCCGCCGAAGGCCTGGGGGGACCTCCGGCGGTCAACACATCGGCGGTGCCGGGGCAGTCCGCATCTGCAGTGCCTGAGGGAACAGGGTGGGAGCGCAGGGTCCCTGGGCGTCCTCGTCGAGACAGCCTCGGCCGCACACGGGCCCGCAGGGACGGATCGGGGTAAAGGCAAGGATGCAGGGGTTGCCTTGCTGAAGACGAGGAGGAGCAGGAGGAGCAGGAGGAGCAGGAGGAGGAGGACTAGGAGGAGGAGGATCAGGAGGAGGAGGAGGAGGAGGAGGAGGAGAAGGACTAGGAGGAGGAGGAGGAGGAGGAGGAAGAGGAGGAGGCGGAGGAGGAGGAGAAGGGCGAAGGATGTGGCAGGAGGAGGGGGGAAGGGGGAGAGAGGGAGTGATGGAGGAGGGGGGAGGAGCACTGCGTCGGCGGGAGGAGTCAGGAGCAGGAGGCAAGGGGGGGGGGAGGCGGGAGGGAGGAGGCAAGGGGGAGCAGGGGGGAGGCGGGGGCGGGGAGGAGTGAGGATGGAGGAGGGAGGGAGGGACTGATGGGGGGAGGGAGGATGAGCAGGAGGAGATGGAGGCCCCACCTCCACCTCCTTCTTCCTCATTCCTCCCTCCTCCCTACTCCCTCCTCCCTCCTCCTCCTCCTCCTCCTCCTCGCTCGCTCCTCCATCCTCCTCCCCTCATCGTCCACCCACCTTCTACCATCTTCTCCATTCCCTTCTCCCTCCCCCTCTCCTGCTCCTCCAGCCTCCTCCCTCAAGAACACCACCACCGATCTCTCCAGGGGCGGGCCTCGACCAGAGAATTTTGAGGAGAGAGCCCAGGCCGCGGCGACGAGCACCCCGCAATCCTCAGAGGCCCGAGGAGGGCGAACCAAAAACGGCCGACGACTTCGAACGCCCCCCACAACAAGTCCCCTCAGACACCCCCCCTCCGAGCCCGCAGGGCTCAGGCAGGGGATCGACTACAGCATCGACTTACCCCCACGGTGATCTGCTCGTGGGATCCACTGAACATGCGTCGAATGCTCATGCTCGTAGGTCTACGCGCATCCTGCGCATGACTCGACGAGAAGGTCAACTGTGGGGCAGATCAGTTCTGCAGTCGAGCCCCTGATGATGCTCGGAGGGCCCGTGGCAGGCGGCGGTGCCCCCGCAGCTGCACCGCCGCGGGCCCCCTCCGAGCAGGCGACCGCGCTCCTCCCCTGGCGAGGCGGGGGCCCCCCGCTGCACCCCTCCGCTCCGAGCAGGCGCACCCCCCCCCGCTTGGACAGGCGCGCCCTGCGCGCTCCCCTCCCCGCCTCCTCCGATCGGGGAGACGTAAGACTCGGGTGCGGGGGACTCGGGTTGGCCTGACGGGGCCACCGTAAACAATGACGAGACCCGATCTGGAGCTTGACGCGAGCTCCCGCTGCAGATATCCCACGAAAACAGGGCCGTCAAAGTCCAGGACGCGCTCGCTGAAAAAAACGTCGGCAAACCCGAGTTCCGGTTTACCCGAGTCTTGCGTTTCCCCGCCTCCTCCTACAGTGGAGGCTAGCCCACAGGAAACCGTCCACAAGAAACCCGACCCTGAGACCCCAGGGCGCCCATGGACTTGGTGTGGGAACGCCGCGCTCTCCGTCGCAAAACCAGCGAAACCCTTAGAAACCCAGGGCACCCTGGAGGCAAAAGGGGGGGTCTCTTGGCATGGGCCTCCACTGTACTCCCGCCTCTTCTGAAAGAACACGCGCAACAGCATACTGCAACAGACGTATGTGGACAAGCGCGTTCCACTACTCGCAAATGGCCTGGATCTGCAGCGGGGGATTCACTATATATATATATATATATACACATACATTAATAATTAGAGGACGACCTGGTTTTTCTAACGTTTGCGAGTAGGCACTTTGCGAGTAGTGGAACGCGCTCGGCGAGCATGGCCTTCCCAAGGCCAGTGCGGACTCCCGAGGCCGGCGCCAGTCTCCCCAGACTTCCGGAGGCCCACGTGCACTTCTCGGGCCGGCGCTGCAGCTCCCCCCTTCTGCTCCTTCCCGCCATGGCCCTTCTCTTCCACTTGTTGCCTTCATGTTTCTCAGCTCCTCCCCCCTCCTCCTCCTCCTCCTCCTCCTCCTCCTCCTCCTCCTCCTCCTCCTCCTCCTCTTTTACCTTACTTCCTTCCTTCCTTCCTTCCTTCCTTCCTTCCTTCCTCCTCCCTCCTCCTCCTCCTCCTCCTCCTCGTCCTCTTCCTCCTCCTCTTTTTCCTCCTCCTCCTCCTCCTCCTCCTCCTCTTTTTCCTCCTCTTTTTCCTCCTCCTCCTCCTTCTCCTCCTGCTCCTGCTCTCCCCCTCTCCTCCTCCCCCCCTCCTCCTCCTCTGCTTCTGCTCCTCCTCCTCCTCCTCCTCCTCCTCCTCCTCCTCCTCCTCCTCCTCCTCCTCCTCCCTCGGTCGCTCCTCCATCCCCCTCCCCCCCCCTCTCGGGTCCTCGGCCTCCTCCTGCGCCAGATTCTTGGCGAAGTCGCTCTCCACGACCTCGAGGATGCCTGGGCGGCGCGGCGCAGAGGGGGGGGGAGGCCTTCTCTTCCTCTCCTCCTCCCTCCTCCTCCTCCTCCTCCTCCTCCTCCTCCTCCTTCGCCTCCTCCTCCTCCTCCTCCTCCTCCTCCTCCCTCCTCCTCCTCCTCCTCCTCCTCCTCCTCCTCCTCCTCCTCCTCCTCCTCCTCCTCCTCCTCCTCCTACACGGAAAGGGATGGCTTGCCAGGGCGTCGCCTAGGACCCTCGGGCTCGCCCATGGTGCGGCTTCGGGCGACCGGGCAGGGCCGGAGATCGAGCAGGGGATCGACGACAGCATCGATGTACCCCCAAAATTGATGACTTGATCGCCGAATCCGTTGGGAATTCGTAGAATGCTCGTAGAGCTACGACGAATATTCGACGTATGACTCGACGAGGTGGTCAATTTGAGGTGAGTCAATTCTGCAGTCGATTCCCCCACTCGAAGAGAGAGAGACGCCCGAGAGCCCCCAAGGGCCCCGCAGATCCCCCGAGAAAGTCTCGCTCGAAGGGCGAAAAGATCCTGTCCCCCGCCCCGAGCCCCCCTTTGTGAGGGACAAGTTCACGGGGGGGGGGGCCCTGAGGAGGAGGAGGAGGAGGAGGAGGAGGAGGAGGAGGAGGAGGAGGAGGCATAAACATCAACTTTTTGGCGCTCCGCGCAGATTTCTTGGATCTGCGCTGGACCCCCCTCTCCCTGGCGCGCGGAGCGTGCCAGGGGCCCCAGCACGGATCCAAGAAGTCCGCGCGGAGCGCCACAAATCTATGTTCATGGCGATTTTTCTTCTTCGAATCGAGCTTGAACTGGCAATACATCCACGACGGATCGGCCATGGGCCTGATGACCCACCCCGACCAGTAATCCATGAGCGATGAGGGGTCTATGCGTCTCCCCCTGAGCCTACAGGGCCGTGCACAGCGACAGCAAAACCGAAAACCGACAGCACCGACAGCGAAACCGAAACCGACCCACATCGACAGGCCGACAGCAGCCCAGCAGCGCGCAGCGATGCTGCCACGGTACGATCACCGACCGAACCGAAAACCGACCGAACGCGAGCGACTGCGACGCATCCGAGCCGACCGAACCGCGAACCCCCCTGGGCCGATTACCCCAAACGTCCTGACGTTTCGGGCCGGGCGAAAGGGGGTGATAGCAAAGGGGGGGTTTGAGAATCACCTCACGTAGCTGATTTTCCCGCCGCCTCCGCGCCGGAGGCAACCGTGTATCGAGGAATGGACCCCTCAGTGGGGCCGAAACCAGCCATGTGCAGCAAACTTCGTACCCCCCCCTTTCCCTATATATCCCCCCGTTCCTCCAGCCCGAGATTCCCCCACACGTCCTGCCCTTGCCCCTGACTTTGGCTGGTCGCCCGGCGCCGATGATGCTGCTCCCGGCGCCCGTGGCGGCTGCATGCAGCACCGGCTTCGCGGGCTGCCACGCGCCCTCGCCGCCCTGCAGCATCGAGGCCGCGGCGCCGCCGTAGTACGCGCTCAGCACGGAGAGCGCGTCGCGCACGCCCTGGGCGCCGGCGACGCCGACGGACGTCTGCGCTTCGGCGGCCCTCGGCGGCCCCCTTCGGTGGCCGTCGGCTGCCCTCTGGCACGCTGCGGCCGCCCAGGGAGCGGCGCGGCGGCGGCGCCGTCGCTGGCGGCGGTGGCGATGACGACGTCTTCGCTTCGGAGCTCCCTTGCGCTTCTGGAGTCTCTCGCTTCCACGGCTGGACACGGCTCGAGCATTTGCCAGGGCGGAGCCTGGGAGGGGTCCAGGGACCGATCTGAAGGATTCTTGTCGGACGGCGAGGGCGGCGACGATGGCGACAAAGACGGTGGCGGCCATGCCAACGACGACGGCGGTGACGACGACGGCGACGACAACCAAGGCGGTGACGACGATGACGACGTCGACGGTGCCGACGACGGTGAGCGGCGGCGGAGCGCGTCATCGCCTTCAGTCCCAGGGTGAGGTCGGCCTTGGCCTTGGGAGGACGCAAGCTGTGCATCTGCACCAATCCTGGTCAGGCCCACCCCAGGCCCCGGATCTGTGCACGCCACACGGACATAATTACGCCCTCCTGGACCGTTCCGCCGCGTCCTGGGGATTTTGCTGCGTAGTCCTGGGCAATTTTCGACGGCCCCGCGGCACGGAAACGGCTCCCGAATGCCCCAAACAGCGACAAACTGCTGTGCTGCAAAAGACCGCGGCGTCAGTCAGGGGCGTCCGAGAGGGGGGTCTGCAAATCATGGCACGAGGCACGTGCGCGGCCCAGGGGGGGCCACGGGACATACTGAAATAAGCAAAAGCGCCATGAGAGATGGGGAGATCTATTCGCCCCGCCCCGGCCACGATATCAAGACGAAGCCAAGACGAGGATAGAATCGGGCGAGGATAAAGCGGGGATCTCTGAGACCCAGCGGCTCTGGAGGATATCTCGGGCGCCGCGGCCTTATCAGAGCTTTCTGGAGTGCTCTGAGAGCGCTCCGGAACGCTCTGGAACGGTTTCATCCTCGTCCCAGCCCCGTCTGAGATATCCCCCGCCCAGTCATCACCCCCAACTTGGCCGCTCCCGGTCTGCAATCCCGGGCCAGGGCGGACCGGTACCGGTGCAGGTCCGCATCTGGCGCCCCGCCCGCGCCTTGTTGTACGCGGCGTTCTCCTCGAGGGGAAGAGGCGGGGGAGAGGAGCACTCGCACGGGAGCGGAAGAAGGGTCGAGGGGGAGGAAAAGGGTTGGACAGCAAAGGGTAGGGTGCATAGAGGCTCAGCTCACGCAGCTGGTCTTCCTGCCCCCTGGCGCCTGGAGGCGCCCGAGTGTCGCGGAAGGGGCCCGGCGGCGGGGCCGAAACCAGCTGTACACCCTGCGAAATGCTTAAGAAATCATGGGTTAAGAAATTCATAGTCTCAGAATTTGAATATAAACCCAGAATTTCCATGCAAATCTTAGGATTCACATTGAAACATTAAGAATCATCGAGATTCTGGCCGAAAGCGTAAGTTTTCTTAGACATCGCCTAGGGTGTATGCATGCAGCAGATTCCGGTCGCCTGTTCTGCCAGGCCGCCATCCCCCCCAAACTGCAGCTCCGCGCGGCCGCTGGTCCCCCTCCCCCGGCGCTCCCCCCCACCAAAAGCCGGTGACTTGCCCGAGCGGGCCGGGCTTCCTCTCTCCCCGTCGCGCCGGGACCTCCTCCTCCCCCGTGCACTGCGGCATCGCTTTGCATCCAGAGCGCCCCCTTTCTGCCACTCCGCCGGAGCAGTCGCCCTCTGCCCAGCCGCCGGCGTGATAAGTACGGAGCAGATTTCGCAGTCCCCCCTTTCCCCACCCTACCCTTTCGTCCAACCTTAAAGAAGACGGGGAGGAAGCAGCAGGGTGGATCGCGAGGGCGAGCGCGTCAGCATTGAGGCGGTCGCACACGTGGAGACACGACTAGGCACGTGCGCTGGGCCGCAATCGGCCCGCAAGGGCTGGGAGGACACCGACCGGGACCTCTGACGACTGAGCAAACATCGCGCCGCAGGTCTTTCGCCATGTGCGGCGCCTGGAGAGCGTCGCGTTGTCGGGCCCTCGAACAATCACACTATAGACGAACCGCAATCAATTTTTGGATCCCCCAAGATGGAATAAATTATTATTTTTCTGGTGGCCTCAATCACGGACTGGTTGTCCACCAATGGCCCACCAATAACGATAACTAACTTTTGTTTTTCCCTGCGGCGCCCGCCGCGCAACAACGACGCCGACAACTACGACTACGATTGCGACGACTACTCGTACTGATGCCTCAGAAGCGCCCTCACGGAAAATCTCACCGCACGAATTCGATTCTTCGAAACTCTATCCTCAGAAACTTCATCCTCAGAAGGGCAGTTGAAACTCAGGCCCCGCGAGGGCCCTCAGAAGCTCCGTCCTCAGAAAGATTGTGAGCAACGCCTTCGGCGAATAATGTGTCGATCTGTTTTGAAATCCTCTTGCAAACGTGCTCACAATCTCTTCGTCGTGCAGGGTCCCTGGGAGACAAAACCGCAGCATTATCCATCCCGCCCAGCGGTAGAAGGAAAATCTCCGCCGCGACGACGACGACGTTTACGACTACAATCAAGATTACGATTACGATTGCGACTACAACCACTACGGCGATTACGACTACAATCGCGACTATAATCACGATTGCAACCACAGGGCCTCGGAGAAGTCCCGCCGCCTTCTGAGACGATAACGCATCCAGTACCCAGAGGGGTTACCCTGGCACCCTGAGGAGGAGAGGAGAAGGAGGAAGAGGAGAAGGAGGAGGGTTACACCACCAAACTCCAGCCCAAGCCACGAGGCGCGGTCCTATTTCCACGCCCTGCGGGTGACCCTGGAGGACCAATTCTTAGGAGAAGAAACAGCGGCATACACGTAAACTTCTGGCGCTCCGCGCTGACTTATTTCTTGGATCCGCGCTGGGCCCCCCCCCGCCCCCTGGCGGCGCCTCCGGCGCCACCCCGTGTTGCCGGGACGAGCACCGAGCCGCGGCCGCTCACCCGTCTGGTGCAGCGTTATGTCGGGCGTGTCCCCCTACAGGGGGATTTTCGACGAAAAGTAAACAATACCCCAACAATGCCCCGAGAAGGTCAAAACATACTCCAAAAATAGTCCCCAGACTATTGTTCGACTATTCTTTGACTACTTTAGGGGTATTTTTATTCCTCGTCGAAGATCCCCCTGTAGGGGGACAGGCCCGACTTACGTTTGGAGGCCTGGAAATTGGCACCAACACCAACACCGGGGGCTGCCTCCGCAGGGGGAAGATGATCCTCGATTTCGGTGTTGGTGGTAATACTTCGGTCACCTTGGAAGCCAAAATCTTACCACCATCACCGAGATCGGGATCTTCTTCCCTCGGTGGAGGCACACCGCCGATACTGGTGTTGGTGTCAACCTCCAGGCCTGCGATATTGAAGGGGCCCCAGGACACACAAATAGATACACACAAATAAACAGACTCCGCATATTTTCCCGTATTTTCTGGGTTTCTGTCTTCCCCCCCACGTCCCATATTTTCCCAGATTTTCCTGGGAGTCGACGATCAATTGTGTCTGTGTGTTTCTTTCCCGCCGTCGGGCAGAGCCCCCCCTCGGAGCAGCGCGCGCTGGCCGCTCGTGCGCCGTCGGGCTCCGCGCGGCCTCGTCGCGCCCTCCTCGCCCGCCATTTGAGGCCGTGCGCGCCCGGGGGCTGCCGGGCCCGAGGCCGCACCCGGGGCCAGGTCGGGCAGCGCCCCCCTGCAGGTGGCTTTCGGGCGAAAAAACAAGAGCCCCCCCCAGAGGCCCAGGGGGGCCCCAAGACACCGCCAAGGAGCCCCCAGAGGCCCCCAAGAGGCCCCTAGGAGGCCCCAAAGAGGCCCCCAGGAGGCTTCAGAGAGGCCCCATAGAGCGCTCGAGGGCCGGCGGAATGAGCGAAGCGATTAATGAAGCACAGCTCGAAAATGCCCTGACAGAGCCGAGAAACGCGAGCAAAAATCGCCCCCGGACTACTGTTTGAGCCATTTCTGAGCATGCCCCTCGTAGGGGGAGGGACACGCCCGACCAGGGCCTGGGGTCCCCGAGCGGAGGTCGCGCTGCCCGCGGCACCGACGGGGAAGCGGCTGCCTGCAGGCCGCCAGAGAGGAGCCCCCCTGCGGGGCTCGAGTGGGGGCCACCGCCGGCGCACCGCCTTCCCTCCTGCCCCAGGGGGGAGGGAGGAGCGGAGCGGGGGCGGAGGGGCCTCTCCTCCCTCCCGCTCCCTCCTCCAGGGCTGGCCCCAAGCGTTGTTCTTCGTTCTGTTCTCGTTCTGTGCTTCGTCCTGCTCCATATCTGTTTTCCTGTGCCTCCCCGCCAGGACGAACAACAAGGCACAGCCGAAGTCCAGCGAAACAGCCTTCAGGTCCAGCCCTGCCATCTTCCTCCCTCTTCCATCCTCCCCTGTCCTCACTCTTCGGACATCCTCTGCCTCCCTCCTCCTCCTCCTCCTCCTCCTCCTTCACGCGCGGGGGGAGGAGGGGTAACGGCGGAGGCGGGCGGGGAAGGGGGAGAGGAAAGAGCGGAAGGGGGAAGAACGTAGGCGGCAGTGACGAGCACGGGGAGGAGGGCTCCTCGCTGCGGATCTTGTCCATCTCTGACTGCAGCTTGGCCAGCGCGGCCAGCTCTCCCTGGAGCTCCTTCACGTCCGCCTTCAGGGCAGCGGACGTCGCCGCGGCCTTGTCGATCTTCGCGGTGAGAGCGGCCATGTCCTCTTCGAGCTCGCTCTTTTTCTCCTCGGTCTTTGCCTGGGGGGGCCCCTGTCACAGCGCCCGCTAATCTGACAGGCCCTGCGCTTCCGAATGGGAGGCAAGGACCCGGGGGCGAAGCGGGAGGGCGGCAGATGGAGGACGGGGAGAAACCAGATGAAGGGGAGGAAGAGAGGAGGCGGGGGATTAGGCTGGTCGGTGCAAAGGGGCTGCTTTCAGATCCGGTGACAATCTGGTCGTCGCAGTACGCCTTCTCCTCGGCGGACGCGGAAGCCTCTGCCTCAAGCTTTGCAATGAGGTCCGTGATCAGGCCCTTCACCTGGAGGCGAGCGAGCGACCATGTGGAAAGACATAGCGATGTGCGGGTGGCATTCGCCCTTGCAAGGGCCTAACATGGTATTCAACAGCCAACATAAGCATGCAACTTGAATGCTTGATGTGGCAAGCTGTCCAGAAAACGCACATTATGGCAACATACACGCTCACACACGTGGTGAGAGCTATCAGTGCGCGGCGAACCGACACTCCACACGCTCCACACTACGCTTGCCTAGAACAACCCTGGACGATGCATTCGTTTTGATGCCATGTCCACGCGCCGCCAACTTTCCTGATGCACCATGGCAGTTGCGCAAACTCCACAAACCATCGAACATGATTGCACCAACGAGCAGTACATAGGAAACTGGGCGAGGGCTGGCAAATCCGTGGCTGCTAAAACGGGACTTTCTGGGAGAAAAAACATATTCACGGAATGAAGATGAGCGCACTACATAGTAAACTGGCTGCTTCCCGAACAAAACAACAATTTCCCGGATCTCCGTTTTAGCAGCCACGGGTTTGCCAGCCTTCGCCTGGCTCCTGAGCACATGTACACGTCAAGCTAACGCGGCACATAAGTGCATCATCATTCGAAGGCATACTACGTGCTCATCACACTGTCCGACGTCGGGCACGTATTATATCATGCGGCACACCTGCTAGGTGTTCCTCAACGTCTGACGTGCAAATCCCACAAACGCTCTGGGCCGAGGTCGTTCAAGGCGATTCCTCTTCCAGTTCCCTTCTTCCCCATCAGGGAGATGTACCACTTCCTGCCCCTTCCACCGGGTCTGGCCGGGGGGGGGGTCAGAAGGCCCTTCTTGGCCTGATATTCTCCTAAGACAGCCTCAGAGAGCCCAAGATGCTATCCAGTCTGGCAAGATATCATGCAACACTGCCCAAGACCGCCTCCAAAATGCTCCCGAGATGCGGACAAACTGCCCCAAATTGCCACGGGGCCTCCCAAACATGCCCCCACGAGGCCGCAATCCGTGCAGAACCTTCGGGCAACCAATGATGGTCAACTTCTCGTCCTTTCGAATCCCACCAGCCTTCTGGGCGTAGGTGGTTTAGGGAGTTTCCTCTTCCACCTCCCTCCTTCTCTTTCGGAGAAAGTTTCACCCCTCCTTCACCCCTCCCCCCTACCCCTTCCCCTGGACCTGGACGGGGGGGTTCGCGAAGTGCCAGACGGTACTTTTTCGCCCACGACGGCCCCAAGAGCGCCTCAGAGCCCAAGATGACCTCCAAGATGGCTCAAGATAGCGCAAGATGGCTTCTAAGATGGTCACAGAGGCCCCAAGAACGCTCCAAGACAGCTCCAAGAGGCCTCCGAGACCTCCAAGGAAGCGAACCCTCCGAGAAACCAACATCCTTCAAACACAAACGGAAAACCACTGATTTTTGCAGGCTCCGTTCGCTTCCGACGGGGCCACAAGATGGCTCCAGTATGGCTCAAGAGGGCCCCAAGAGAGCCTCAAGGCGGCCCCAAGAGCGCCCCAAGAGGCGAGTTTAGACGCTCTAGAGGGGCAGCCCTAATCAAGGACTCCCCTTCTTTGATCGATGCCCTCCAAGGATAACCCCAAGAGGTGCCCAGGAGGCCCCAAGAGGCCCCAAGATGGCTCCAAGATGGCCCCAAGAGGCCCCCAGGAGGCCCCCAACAGGACCCCAAGCGGCCCCAAGAGGCCTCCCCGAGGCACCCAAGACGCCCAAAAGCCCCCCAGGACTGCCAAGAGACCCCCACGACGTCCCAAGAGGCTTCCAAGAAGCGCCCAAGATCCCTCCTTCGCACGGTTCGGCCGTCCACCTCTTTGCTCCCACACTTCCCTGATCACCTCAACTCGCCTGGACATCGTTTCTGGATGGGCTGGTGGGGATAACGAAGCATCTAGAATTTGTTCGGTCATCTTGGGTCCTCCTGGGGCACTCTCAAGGCCGTTTTAGCGCCTCCTGGAATTTCTTGGAACCGTCTGGGGGCGCTTCCCTCTTAGAGTCGTCTTTGGCACTCGGCCCCAATTGGGGCTCTCACGGGGCAATGACAGGGCCCGCTTCCCTACACGTCAAGCGACGCAATTCCCTTCCAGAATGATGAACTGCGCTGCCGTTGAACAGCAATCGCTGTTTTCGGCCAGGCTCCCAGGTGGCATCCGGTGAGCCAACGGCCGCGCCAACGCCCCTCACCATGGCTGCGCGGCAAGCCCACGTACCACACCGAACACTCCCTCTGCTCGCACAGACACGCACTCGTGTGCGTACGTCGTGCAGGTGGAACGATGGCTTTGCTTGGGGATGGCGGCGCACGTGGCGCAGATGGGCCTGTGGAGTGCGGTCGGCCCGCATCATAAGGATGCGCGATAGGGATGCCAAGGCATTGGACGCCCATCCGGAAACTTCTCGAGCGGGGCGCGGCAGCCGAGAGTGACCAAGGATGGACCGAGGAGGCAAGGATGCTAGGGTACCTCTGGGAAGGTTGCCCATCCTTACTACCATCCGGGTTGGCTGTAAATCGGAACGTGACCGGACGCGACTATGGACGCCCGAGATGGGTACGAAAAAATGGATATCATGCCCAACCACAAATGACGTCCTAAACCAACAGCGGCCGCTGTTGGGCAGGCGGCCTTCTGTCTCGAATGGACACAGGCCGCGGCGGCGTGGACAGCGAGTCCTGTTCAAAATGAACAGGAACTGCTGTTGGGCATTGTACCCATTCTTTCCGTACCCATGTCGTTCGTGCCGAGCGACAGACTCGCGGCGCAGCGGTGCCACCTTCACGAAGGGATCTTCGCCGGCAGCAGACCCGAGGCGCACCACCGCCTGCATGCGCGACGCCAGCTGCGCGAGGGCCGACGAGTGGTACTTCTTGGCCAACTGCTGCACCGCCGTGAGGACCTCCGCACCCCTTCGCCCCTCGTCGGTTCTCGACTTAGGTCGGGCGTGTCCTCCTGCAGGGTGATTTTGGACGAACAATGAACAGTACTCAAAACATATCCCAAACTGTCGAAACATAATCGAAACATCGTCCCCTGACTATTTTGACAATTTTTGAGTGTTCCCCCTGTAGGGGGACACGCCCGATTTAACCCTCGACCCAGGCTGCCTCTCTGCTGCTCCTCTTGGCCGGCAGCGAGGCGGCCCCTTCTCAGCACTCGCACATCGCGGAGCCTGCGCCGCACGGCGTGCACCGCATAGCTTGCACCGCACAGGGTCAGATCACGCAGCTTACACCATACACGTCCCCAGGGCGAACGCTTGCCCCTCCTGGGCCTGGAACTGGCATTGTCCAGAGCGACAGCGGAGCTTCTCAACGTATGGATGACATGTCCAGCCAGCGGCGGACGTTGGGGTGGACCCGTCTTCCGCCAGCATGGATCCAAATTCGTTTCCCCAGGTCTACGCTTCGTTTATTGGTTGTTCACCCGATGTCGATCTATCGGAGGTGAGGGGGTGAGATCGCACTGAAACATGGAGCCCCCCAACCGGGAAATCGGTTTCGGTTTCGGATTCGGGTCGTGCGTGCGGGCGAGGCGATGCTGCGTGGGCGGGCAAGGGGAACGAACCCTCCTCTGGCCAGAGCGCAGCGAGGACAAAAGTCCGCCCCACCCTGGCCGCGTGGCGGGCGGTGCTCGCGGGGTGTCCCGCCGTGGTGTCCCGATGGTGTTCCCTGGTGTCCCGTGGTGTCCCGCGGTGTCCCGCCGTTATGTCCCGATGATGTCCCGTGGTGTCCCGCCATGGTGTCCCGCCATGGTGTCCCGCCATGGTGTCCCGATGGTGTCCCGATGGTGTCCCGCGGTGTCCCGTGGTGTCCCGTGGTGTCCCGCGGTGTCCCGTGATGGTGTCACGTGATGGTGTCCCGTGAGAGCGATAGCGAGATTGATAGTGAGATCGATAGAGAGATCGATCGTGAGATCTATAATGTGATTGATGCCGAGATCGATAGTGAGATCGATAAAAAGATCGACAGTACGTCGATGGTGAGATCGATCGTGAGGTTGATTGTGAGGTCGAATGTGAGATCGACGGAGAGATCGATATGAGACCGGTCGTGAGAGGCATAGTGAGACCGATCGTGAGATCGATAGTGCGATCGATAGTGCGATTGATCGAGTGACACCGATCGTGAGATCGACAGCGAGGTCGCTAGTGACATCGATTGGGTGAGACGTCGGTTCCCTCTCCCCCCTCCGAACCACCCGGAAGGTGGTCGTGTAGGTACCCATCGGTCGGAAGAGGTAGGCAGAAACATGAAGTAGGAAGGCGGAAAGAGTAGATTGGGTCCGGGCCCGCCCAGAGAGCAGCAACAGCAAAAGCACATCAATTCTTGAAGTAGGAAGGCGCTTGAAATAGATTGGGTTCTGGGCATCCCCAAAAACCTACTTTCAAAGACCGATGGGCAATGCTACACTAGTTCGGTGGACCGGACGGAAGTCAGGTCCAAGGCTCCGGACGCCGCCCTCGTCAAGAATCTACGATCGCGGTTCGCATCGCAAGATGAACATCAACCGCCCTGTGCAAGTACATTGCACCACGCAGCCTGCACCACGTGTCTTGCGCCGCATGGCGTGCACTACACCTCCTGAGTGCAGCAGCTTCCTGTTTGGGGCCCACGCTGGCAAACGTGTCTCTCGAAAGCGTGTACATGCAGCTCCGAAAATCTCTCCCCGAGGACCTCTGCCTTCTTCAAGTCGACGGACGTCCGCAGCTGCGACCGGCCAGAGGAGAGCTGCACGAGGCTGTAGCTCTGCGCCACGGCCCCGGAGGTGGTGTCCTCGAGGATCTTCTTCGCGTCCGCGATGGCCTCCGTTGGTTGTGCGCGTCGTCGTCGTCGTCGTCGTCGTCACCGTCGCCGTCATAGGGCATGGACATCGGAGGGATGAGGAGGGAGAGGAGGAGGAGGAGGAGGAGGAGGAGGAGGAGGAGGAGGAGGAGGAGGAGAGGGGGGACAAGCAGAAGGATGAGGATGATAATGAGGATGAGGATGAGGAGGTGGAGGAGGTGGGAGAGGAGGAGGAGGAGGAGGAGGAGGAGGAGGAGGACGAGGAGGAGAAGGAGGAGGCGGAGGAGGAAAAGGAGGGACACGGAGGAGGAGAGGGGACAGGCGCGGGAGGAGAGGGAGGGAGAGGAGCGAGCAGAAGGAGGAGGAGCGAGCAGAAGGAGGAGGAGGAGGAGGAGGAGGAGGAGGAGGAGGAGGAGGAGGAGGAGGAGGAGCAGCGGCAGGAGTATCAGGAGGACAGCTGCGGAGGTAGGTTGGCTGGGCGGGGAAGGGACGAGAGAGGGAGGGGGACGAGGATAAGGAGGAGGCGGAGGCAGGCGCAGGAGCAGAGGAAGGGAGAGGAGCGAGCAGGAGGTGGAGCAGGAGCATCAGGAGGACAGGCGCGGGAGTAGGTGGGCTGGGTGGGGAGGGAGGGGGGGGAGAGGGACGAGGATAAGGAGGAGGAAACGGAGGAGGCGGAGGAGGGAAGGAAACAAATATGAGGATCAGCAGGGCATGAGCACGGGAGGCGCGGGACTCCACCTGCTCCACTCTTCCAATCCTCGTCTTCGTCCTCGTCATCCTCCCCCCCTTCTCCTCCGAAGACCAGCGCTACTACTACCACCATCATCACTACCACCACTACTGCTCATCACGCCATGCTCTCTCGCATTTTCTCTCCCTCTCTCTCTCTCTCGCTCTTTTTCTCCCTTTCCTCTACGTCCACCTCGCCCGATCGACGGCAACAGAAAACGACACTGCTGCAACTGCCGCCACTGCCGCCGCTACCACCGCTGACGCAGCTACCACCACGAACGCTGCTACCGCCACGACCGCCACGACTGCCACTACTGCCACAGTTGCTGTCTTCACTACCGCCACTACCTGCATTACCACCACGACCGCCACCGCTGCCGCTGCTGCTGCCCCCGCGCCCTTCCCTCGGGCCTTGAGCTCGTCGTTGCGGCCGGCCACGGTGGCCTGCCCCGCCCGCATGGAGGGGACTACGCCCGCCTCCATGCCCCAGGCCGACGACGACGACGAAGAAAACGGCGACGCCGGCGACGACTGTCCACTGACGACGGCGGACGACGACGGTGACAAGGACGAGGATAAGGACGGCGACGATCGACGAGGACAGACAGCGACGGCGACAAGGAGGACGGCGACGACGGCGGCGGCGAGGGCGACGGCGACGAGCGACGGCGGACCGACGACGGCGTGGAGGGCGACGGCGGCACCGAGGACGAGGCGCTCGTCCCTCCTCGCCTCCCCGCGCGTCTCCTGGGAGACTGGGGGCGAAGGCGGGACAGATTGGGTGAGGTAACACTGAAGGGGCCCCAGGACACACAAAAAAATACACACAAATAAACAGATTCCTCATATTTTCCCATATTTTCTGGGTTTCTGTCTTCCCCCCCACTTCCATATTTTCCCATATTTCCCTGGGGATCTTCGATTAATTGTGTCTGTGTTTTTTCCCCGCCTGACACTGAGCCGGCTCCAAGCATTAATTCGGGAGATGCGACTCATAAGATCGCCCTCCAATGTGTCAAACTGAGCGGCCTCGTAGCTCCTCAAGATCTTCGCAATAATCAAACGCACTCCTTCTAGAGGAGGAGACGAGAAAGGACGGGAAGAAGATTACCTCTGGAGGCCTCCAAACACCTCCTCCTCCTCCTACTCCCTCCCTCTCTCCATCCTGCTCCTCCTCCTCCCCTCCCCCCTTGCCTGTTCCCTCCGCCTCTGCTGTTCTCGCTCCTCCCACCTCTGAACTGGAAGTGTCCGAAGGACATGCCGGGCAGCCCAACAAGAAATGAGCAGCATGAAGGACTCTTGAAGCACCCAGGCGAAGAAGGAAGAGCGAGCAGAGGAGAGTCAGAGGGGAAGGGGGATACACTGGTAGATGCGTTCCACATTCCTGCGCCGCTCATCCCTCTTCCTGCTCCTCCTTCCTGCTCCACCGCCCCTCCTTTCCCCTCCTCCCTGTCCCTCCGCCCTCCTCCTCATCCCCCCCCTCCTCTTTCTCATCCTCGAAGGGATCCTCCTCTTCGATATGAGGCTGGTGGGGGAGGGGAGGGGAGCAACACTCTCCCTTCGTCGTCTCTCTCCATCGCCCTCCTTCGCTTTTAGTTTTCGCCCCTTTTTTCCCCGGAAAGGGCAGAAGCCAAGGATTTGAGAATGCCTCGAGCGAGACGCTTGGTTTCACGTGTCCAGGTCGCCCATGCGGTTGTCTAACATTAGGACTTGTTGAGGTCTTGAGCGAAACGCTTGTTTTCACGCGTCCGGGTGGTCCAGGAAGATGTCTAGCATGAGACTGTGTTGAGGATATGTCGAGCGAGTCGCTTGCTTTCACGTGCCCAGGGCGCCCAGGCGGATGTCTCACATGAGGATGTGTTGAGGATGTCTCGATAGAGACGCTTGCTTTCACGTGCCCAGGTTGCCCAGGCGGATGTATAGCACGAGGATGTGTTGAGAAGTTCTCGAGCGAAACGCTTGCTTTCACGTGCCCAGGTCGCTCAGGCGGATGTCTAACATGAGAATGTGTTGAGGATGCCTCGAATGAGACGCTTGTTTTCACGTGTCCAGGTCGCCCAGGCGAATGTCTAGCATGAGGATGTGTTGAGGATGTGTTGAGCTTGCTTTCACGTGCCCAGGTCGCCCATGCGGATGTCTAACATGAAGATTTTCGGAGGATGTCTCGAGCGAACGACGCGTTTTCGCGTCCAGTTCGCCAAGGCGGATGATTACCATGAGGATGTGTTGAGGATGTGTTGAGTTAGACACTTGGTTTCACGTGTCCAGGTCGCTCAGGCAGATGTCTAGAACGAAGAGGTGTTGAGAACGTCTCGAGCGAGACGCTTGGTTTCACGTGTCCAGGTCGCCCAGGCGGATGTCTAACATGAGGATTTGTTGAGGATGTCTCGCATGAAGCGCTTGTCGCAGTAGAGTTCGTTGCAGTCCAGCCCCGCCCGTCCGTGGGGCGTCCCCTGGCGCCCTGGCGCGCCCCCTGGCGCGTCCCATGCGACGTTCAGGCTTGACATGCCCTGGCACGTCCACTAGCACGTTCCGTGGCAAGTCCCTGACACGTCCTGGGCACGTCCCCTGCTGCGTCTCCTGACATATCCTCTGGCGCATCCCATATTGCGCCTCTGACACATCCTATGGCGCGTCCGTGAGCTTATGCCCCGTGTCCTGTCGTTCCTTTTCGGAGCTGAGTCGGATTTTGAGGTCGAGTTGATTGAACGTCCTCCACGTTTCCACTTCAACTAGCTCTGGGGCGGCTATAATGTGCTCAGGCAGCTCGAGCTTAAGATCCAGATCAGTTCGGCCAGGACTCGAATGCCAAGGAGGACTCGATCCACAACGCTATAGAGCACACTCGCGGCATGGCACATCGCAATTCAGCACGGCACAGCTCAGCACAGCCCTGGGCAATTGCCCGTCGCCCAATCAAATGTCTTGACCCGTTGCTATGCCTCACATTTCCATACCCGTTTCTGGGTTCGTGGATCCATCATGCTTCTTTCTCTCTCTCCCTCTCTCTCTCTCACTGTCTCCCATCATCTGACTCCTCCATTGCCTCCTTTCGAACTCCCTCTCTCAGTATTTCTTCCCCTCTCCCTCCCTCTCTCTCTCTCTCGCCTTTGTTCTTTCTCTCTCTCTCTCTCGCCCCTTTTCTCCATTTCTTTGTGAAGTGCGACTGCCCGTCTGTTCAGAACTGATGCTCCTTACGTTTATTGCAAGCGAATGGGCGGCTACCGTGCTGATATCAGCTTCCACAGCGGACGTCAGCCACGCCAACTTTGTCGTGACCACTCAAGGGGGGCTTGCCTTCTCACACCGCATTTCGCGTTTCTCGGCCTCCAGGGCAACGCGCAGCGAGGCCGCCGTGCTGCCTAAATCACAGCGCTCGAAGCTGGCCTAGCCGCGCCACGACCTCCCACAGAGGGATGGCCCGGTGAGCGAGCCAAGTGCGAGCCGCATGGCGCGTTGCGCATGTTCTACCAGCACTTCTGTGCCGACGCGTTTGGCTCCGCAACTGTAGATTGCGGCTTGATGCTGCAATGGTTCGTGATTGCGCGCTTTCACGCGTGCTGGCCATCTCGGTCTGGACTCGAACGGCTGGCAGATCGCACACATGGTTGTTGGTGTTCAGGTCAAGCTCCTGTGCGCCTGGGCCGGAATGCGTGCCGCTGTCCTGCCCACGTTCCATCACGTGCCGTCCGTGTAGGTGAATGGCGTCAGTTCGCGCTTTCTCACGTCGGCGATGGCTTGGGCATGTGCGTTTCAAGCACGTGGATGCTTGATCCAATTAATCCTTCCTTCGGGCCGATCCACTAGCACTCGCCAATGTGTGTTTCGCATTATGTCATCGATACCTGCTCATACATCTCGCTCCCTGACTTGGCAAGCACGCTTTTCTGGTGCCTGACTTGTCACACCTCACTTTCCTCTTGCAATAAGAGCTTCGCCGACGGATTGGTGACCTTTCCCCGCGGCGCACGATCGGGACACGTGCGCTTTCCCCGTACAACCGAAAAACACGTTCCGTCTGTCTGTCCGCCGGTGTGTATGCTTCTGCATGTCGGTAAGTGTCTTCCTCCCTCCCTCTACTCCCTCACTCGTCGCTCGCTCCCGCTCCCTCCCCTCCCTCCCTCGTCCTCCAAAGCTTCCGTTCTCTAAGGGCTCCCAACATCGCGCTTCGCGCTGCGCGAAGCGCGAAGTGCGAATAACTTCGCGCTCTCGCGCCGCCTCCCAGGGGGAGAAGAGGAAGATGAGGAGGAATCGGAGCCGAACCACGAAGCGCGAATAACTTCGCGCCCTCGAGGGCGCCCTTGGTTCTCTCCCCCTCCTCTTACCTCGCTCCCCCCCTTCATCCTCCTTCCCCCCATTCCAGGCAAGCCGAATCCTTGATAGGATGAGGGCGACGGCACCGAGGACAAACACGACGAGGAGGAACCCGAGGGAGCGGCGGAGCGGGCAGGGAACAGACGGAAGAAGCTGGTGATAAAAACGGCTCCCAACTTCGCTTCGCGCTGCGCGAAGCGCGAAGTGCGAATAACTTCGCGCTCTCGCGCCGCCTCCCAGGGGAGAAGAGGAAGAAGAGGAGGAATTGTAGCCGAACCGCGAAGCGCGAATAACTTCGCGCCCTCGAGGGCGCCCTTACGATAGGGGGGGGGTATGCGTATGAGAAGGGCCGCAGGAGTGGCAAGGCGAGTGGTAGGAGGATGATGATGGAGGGGGAAGAAACACGATGAGGATGATCCGCCGGCCCCCTTGGGCGGCCATCAGGCTGCGAAGATTTTAGGCTTGCAGCTCCCTGTGCCAGTTGCAGTTTCCAGTTTCCACTGTTACAGTCCTGCTTTCTGCTTCCTTACTGTTACTTGTTGCTGAAAGCGCGAGGGCGGGAGCCGACAAGCGTCCCGGTTAGCGTCCCCGAATCGCGCTGTCTCAATTCTTGGGGGTTCGTGGGACGCGTAAAAATATTTGATGTTCGCGTCCCCGAGACCATACTCCCTCATAGATTACGCCATATCCGCCTCCCCGAGGCCATACACCCTCGTACATTACACAGTATTCGCGTCTCCGAAGCCATCATCCCTTGCAAATTATATAATATTCGCGTCCCCGAAGCCATAACCCCCCGTAAACTATGCGATATTCGCGCCCCCGAAGCCATAAACCTTAGTAAATTACTGAATCTTCGCGGCCCCGAAGCCATAAACCTTTAACCATTATTTATAATTCGCGTCCCCAGGGCCATACACCATCGTAAATTACAACATGCTTGCGTCCCCGAGGCCACAAACCCTCGCACATTACACAACATTCGCGTTCCCGAGGCCATACGCCCTCGTACATTACACGATGTTTGCCTCTCCCCCCCCCCCCCCTCGAGGCCATAAACGTTTGTAAATTATACAATAGTTGCGTCCCCGAAGCCACAAACCTTCGTAACTTACGCAAGATTCGCGTCC